AGCAACTCATCATCAGCTCACTATACATCCCCACCGAGGGGCTCGGAACCTATTCTAAGTTAGAGGTGACTAGGCCATAGTCAACCACGCTGGCCAAGTGCAGATTGGTTGACTACACACATATCTTTGAATTTCTTCTCGGATAAATGTACATATGTAAATCGGAAATCGAATAACACATTGGTACATGGCGGGATTCCAACCCAGGACCTGCAGATTCCAAGTCAAGGGCATGACTCCTGAGCCAAATAACAACTAGCACATTTTTATGGCCTGAGACCCTTTACTTAGGGTTGGCTCTGAGCCCCACAATAGGGACTTAATGTGAGCTGATGATGATAACTTTACTATTACAGTCTAGAACAACAATATCTGTTGATTGCATAAAGCTAGCTCTCCTGTTGAAACACTACAACCACACAGAAGACATGCATGAAGTGGAAGTAATTCCTTTATTCATCTGATGAGTTTGCGAAACGAATAATTTTGTCCTCGCTCCCTACCCACCCTTTTAAGGAAAAAGGAAGTGAATTTGGCCATGGAGAGAACAAAGAAGAAGAAATATGCTTTCTGTGTGTCCTCTCCTATTTTAATTAAAGGTATGCAACACATCTGCACTTGCATGTTGATGGGCATGTGTTGGTTTGCTATTTCAGCAAATCCAGGTAGCCGCTTCCTTGATTGCCATCTTTCCTTACAGTATATACAGAAAAAAAAAGCTTTTCTTTGATAATTTTTCCTTCTATAGAAATACATTTATCACTTGTAATTCACTTTATTCTACTATTATGTTTTAATGATAAAAGTACTTACCAATACGGGCTCATATTTAACGGAGGTGATAGATTTAAAATGTGAGCATGATTGCTGTTCTTCAATAACGGCAGGCATAATTTGGATCTGTAATAAACAAGTTTACATTGATATTATTTAAATATATACAAGTGATCTGGGCCGGTAAGAGATGCTGACATAGTTGTTAATTCTGTCAGACAATGTAAAACAGTACAACAAGGATCTTTTGACATTTTTCGACTATCAGATTTTGAAATTTATCAGCCTAACTGTGGATTTCTGAGATCAAAATTTCCGTTTAAAACATTTAATATTTTATTACAGTGATGACAATATGTTTTAAGCGGAGATTTTGGACTCAGAAAGCCATTCTAAATCTCTATTATAACATGTAGATGAAAATGTTTGATATTTAACAAGTATAAAATATAGTCAATGCTTTTTATTTTCTTATATAATTTGGTATATAAACTGATATGGTTGGACAAATTAAGATATAACTGTTATATAAAAGTTATATTATCTTATTATGTTATCAATAGATTATTTATAAAACATTGGAACTTGGATGTTGGAACTTAATCTTATTAGGTCCAGCTTGATAAAAATTATTAGAATTTACAATAAAGTTAATCACATAACTTATATCTTAGTAAGATTACTAATATTATAAATGTAAATATTTAGATCTGTGGATGGTTGGTTGATTATTTTAAGGTATTTCCATAAAGGCTGCATGGATCTTGTTGAAATAGGAATAGATGTAGAACACAGTCATCAAGAGCACAAAAGCTACTAATTAATTCCGTACAGATGGAGTTATGGGCGTCAACAGTACTGCATAGTTACATATACTACTTCAAAAAAAATTTCATCAATCATTAAAGTAACATGCAACAGTGGGCTATCAAATTCTCTTGATTCATATTTTTCAATGGGTTCTTGGAATAACAAAATAGTTAATAATACTTACGCTAAGAAAGTACCCCTTGTGTTAATGTTATGCATGAGGTCATATCTCTTCATGTCAGTCTGCGCAGTGCCTGTCAGTGAAATGGCTGATGCATTGTTGACCAGAATGTCAATACCACCAAACTAAAATATATTTAAATTACAAATTAAACACTAACATACATAAAACACTAAGGTGGAGATTACAGATTTATATTGAATGTGTTTTATGAACACAACAGTTTTTTCTACATCTGTTAAGAAGTTAAGTGCAGCTGATACACTTATAAGTTTGGTTTATTATGTGCACTAGAAGTGGCCATGATATTTAAAAAAGATAATAAAAAGAAAAAATAATCTAGCTCCTAATTAAGTGTAAATATAACAAGTACCTTTTTCACTGCTTCATCAATAGCTGCTTGCACTTGTTTTTCCTCCCTCACATCCACAATGCATGGCAATGCCTTTCCTCCAAGTGCTTCAACTAAAATATAAGAGTTAAACCTTTAGATCTGGTTTTCTCACAAAATCTCTGGACATGTGTAAAATACCGGCATAAGTAAGCCATTTTTAACGTAATTAATGTTATTTCCGGTTTGATAATATCAGCGATCAAAACATCAAAGGTCGAAGTCGATACGCCGTATAAAGTTCAAAGTCCACGTATGCAATTAACACCAATCACGTAAGGTTTTAAAACGAAAGGGCCACGAAGATAATTGAAATTAACTTCGAAATTTGGTTTATCCATCCTTAACAACTTACTCTCTTCTGCAGCGGTGTAAATGGTGCCAGGTAACTTTGGATGCGGTTCAGCTGTTTTGGCGGCAATAACAACATTCGCTCCATCCTTAGCTGCTTTCAATGCGATCGCTTTACCAATGCCGCGAGAAGCACCCGTTATAAACAGGGTACGACCAGCTAATTTTCTAAACACAAGAACAATCGTAAACCATAGAAACTTTAGTTTTATCACAAACAAATTAAGAAAACATACCCAGTATTCGCGACTAAACTCATATTTAACAATTATAAAATGAAGATAAAAGATTAATAATTGTAACAGTCAAAATAAATAATTTGAAGAACTAATTTATTCATGCGATTTCTATAACTGTGTAACCGTGTTTCACTTTCACAGAGTTCATGAACATTGAATTCTGAATTCTGTGATTTGGTGTTGGTGGTTATCTGTCAAGCTATCAACTGTCAAGTTAAAACTTCTATTTTAGGGACGTTCGATTCGATTTTATGATCCTATCCATCCGATTTTTGTATCGATTTAAAGTCTTCCTATCCGTTAATGATCCAGAACACGTATACATTGTGGATTGAACTGAAAATATGTTTGTAATTAAAAAATGAATGTATTCTAAATAAGTAAATTATTAATTTTACGCACTTTGCTTTGCATGAAAATTGTACTGGATCGACAATCAGTGGAAACGAAGCGCTGTTTTACAATCCGTTGGAATTCAGATCATCAAATATAAAGCACACAGTGCGAACATTTCTAGTATTTTGAATCTTTTTTTCATTGGTGTTGCTAGATATGGATAAGGTCAGTTATGTTTAGATGGACACAGAGAAGTAATTTTTTTTTATTCTTGTGGTCGATCTTTATTCAACTTCTTTTATTAAAAATTACTGTTGTTTTCTGTTCTAAGTTATGAAAACCATCTTATAATAAAACCCTCCCTGCCCAAAATAACCAGTAGAATTTGTACTAATCCTAACCTTTGGCTATAAACGTACAGGGTAAATAAAACGATGTATCGATTGAAATACATTTATATTTTGTGCATCACTTCATTCTTTCTATTCTCTAGTACACACCGCAAATAAGGGTGGATGAATATTAAAATAATCTAAATTTATTATTTCTACAAATTTCATTACATAAACATCATAAGACATATTAGGCTTTATTACAATAATAGCAACATTTGCTAGTTATGGCTCGAATCATAGTCAAAAAATTCTATTTCCCCACATAAATCTTATTTACTGTAGACATTTGTACAATGCTTCTACTCTTACATACATATAATATACAATGGTGTTGACTGGATTTATTAGATCTATTTAAGAGTATTTATTACAACGATTTCACATAAGCCTAGTAATTTCTAATATAAATCTTTGATTTTCTAAAATCATGCTAAAATATTTTTTATTTTCATATTCATATAATAATGTTTACACACACATATATTAAAATAATTATTAAAAACGATTAACAAATAAAATTCATAAGGATTACATTTCGTTATTTCATTTAATATAAAAATCTATTATAATTATAAACTCATAGTTTGAGCTGGGTTTATTTAGTTTGATTTTATACATTTATCTCGAGTTTTTTTTTAAATTTTATAAGAACGTTTAAATTAAAGACTTAATTATTATGTAAATTTAAGCGCTCTGAGCATTGGCGAAATTTCATTGTAAGAAAATATAATAAGTTATATAAGGTATATATACCAATCCAAACGAATTGCGATCACTTTTATCAAATCCGAGGTCTTCTCTATACCATAGAGGTAATGGTGGCCTTATTTTCAAATCAGGCACTTTCACATTAAGGTTTTTAACATCGTTCTCTTTATTAAATATAAAACGTATTATTACACATGTGAACACGACCTAATATGAATGCAAAGCACAGCTATATCTATCTCACTCCCTCTTATTCTTATCTGTCGACGAAATCTCGTCGGTACTTTATCTTCCTATTATTTTAATAATTAATTCTTTAAATATTTTGTTAGGAATCGATTACTTGTTAAATCGGCTAGTTTTAATTTCATGGTTTTGAAATGACCAAAAGGTATAAAACATTTTTTTAATCGTTGCTTAAATCTTTCAAAAAATAAAAATATATTAGGTAATGTGTTTCCAAGATATTCTAGTCTATATTTGAACAGAGGGCCTAGCACGAATATTTGTGAGAATGTTTCCGTCAGGTCGTTGACAAAATTTGTATGAAAATTAGTGCAGCGCCTCCTACAGGGGTTAAAGTACACTAACAAATGTCATACATGATGTTACTAAAGCGCACAAAAACTAACCAAAAATGTTTTCAGCAAGTCACTATACAGCGAAAAGCACCATAATTATTACAAACATCTATATTTTTAACTTATCTATTTAAAGCATTTATGAATTAAAAAAAATTGGCACCAAAATAAAAATAATACTATTTTCATTTATATAATTATAGTTTTCAAGGAAAATAGACAAAATATTGACGTTTACCAGTTTTTATGGTTTAAAAATGCATTTAAAAGTGTTTTTAGCCGATTGAAATAAAGAAATGCGATACCGAGTACCCGTAACTGACAATTTCGAAGCATTTTATATAACATAATGTTTTTTTTTTATTAATACTTAGAGGATTAGAGGATATATAAAAATACGGTCAAATTACAATTTAAACGCTAGTTATCGGTCTTAATACTAATCATGCCACTCAAGCAAGTCGCCGGCATTGAATGTGTTAAAATATTTGAATTTCGTCACTTTTTAATATTTACTAAATGTATTTAGAAGTGTTAATAATTCATTCACAAACATGTGGATGTTTTATCTTTGGATGATTTAAATATTCGTTTTTACAATAATATTGTTCCTAGTATTATATAAAAGCTGGTTGTTTGGCGGAATGCTGTAAAGCAGCGAGCACGTCGTGTTTAAGTCTGACGTACAATCGGCCCTTCCTCCAGGGGTTCTGTAGCTGTAAAGGTCTAAAGTCGTCTCTGAGGCATCTCTCACGGGCCCCGATGACGGCCACGAGACAGAAGTCCTGCAACCTCTCAGGGCCGTACACAGGACCCGCTTTGCCCTTCAGCACGGCGGCCATGTTGAGTTGTTTGACGACGAGGTCGATGACCTCTCGTGCTGAGGTGCGTGGTGTCACGTGGAGCTTCAGTGACGTGCCCGCAGCTAGGCCTGTCTCGTATGCTGCGAATACCTGGAAATAAAATTATAAAAGAAATTAAATTTTAATTGGTCAGTTTAAAAAAACATAATGAAAATCATATTAGTTACTAGATATATCCCGTTTACATGATTCCAGTCCAGTGATCAAAATCGGTGCTGGATTAAAACTAGGGAACTGTAAAAACAACCAGGAATGCTCTTAACCGGTTTCAGTATGGTTTTAAATTTGTATAGTCGTAACCCAGCTTTGTGATATTATTATCGCTGGACTGGAATAATGTAAACCGGGCATTCAACAACATACCTGTAGTATTCCCGGTTGGTCGGGTGTTCGTTGTTCGCGAGGCTTCATATCTTCGTCTCTCTCAGTCTTAGGAACTTTGTTATTGCACTCCACGTCTTCCTGCGTCTCCAGCAATGGCTGTCGTTTGATGCAGAGGTTAGTTTTGTGACATACATCCTGTCCAGTATCGGTGAAGTCGATGTCAGATTTAACGTTATTCATACTCTTTGACGCGATGACATTAAACGTCCGATTTGGTGAGGGACGGAGTTTTAACGGAACGGATAAAGGTGAGCTTTGACTCTCAGAATCGCTGGACAAACTCTGTACGGATTCTGACACGTTCCCTTTCATCGTACGAACACTTATCATACTACCGGGATAGTAATTCTTAACAGTCAACAATGGACTAGATGTTGTTGAAGCGCTTGCATTACTCATGCTATGTGGTCTAGGTTTAGGGTCGACGTTTTCATTTTGCAAGACGAGTGTATCTTCACTCTTAGACGGCGGCAGACGATTGCTGCCGATACTGGTATGAGAACCTGATGATTTGATATCGAATTGTGAGTTACTGCTCAAGTAATTGTTACTCATAAGACTAGATTGAGTGAATTGTGAGTCGCCGCTACCTTTCCTTGAGTATTTAGAATCGGGATTTAGAAATTGAGACGTACTCAAGTTGAGGGTTGAAACTGATGTTTGTCGCGGGGATAGGCTCAGCTGTTGCTCCGATTTGCTAAATTCTGGATGTAGGTGGGCGTGGTTTCCGTTTCCCGCTGGACCGGGCCAGGATCCCCTCCCTGGTGAGGTTTTGGTTATTTTTCCATCCCTGGAGGGTATCTGGAGGAGGTCCACTTTTAGATTTACATCTTTATCTTTTGTGTCCGTTTCGGTGACGCAGCCCTCGGTGGGGTTTCTTTCTAGGATGTATTTGAGGAGTATTCCAGAGCTGGAGCCGGTTTTATCTTTGTCTCTCGCGAAGCCGATCAAGTCCATAAGCCATCGTTCCGCTTTCCATACTATATTGAGATTGTTCTGTAAATCTTCTAGTTTAGTTAACCTCTCCTTAGCGGTCTGTAATTCGGAACATGAGAAAGCCTCTCGATGTGAATGTGCGGCGAGGGCGACGTCCAGCTCGAGGACGCAGCTCAGCTTGGAGTATTTGTTTAGTATACTGGTGTGGTAAGTTTGTAGATGTATCATTTCGAACGCTTGTATCGGCAGACTGAGTAGATCGCCTTTCTGGAGGAGTATTTCCTTCTGTCCGGGCACGGAGCAGGCCTGCTCAGCTGGAGGGCAGACCATGATGAAACTGACGTCATTGTTTAACTCTATGACCTCGAGGTCGTAGATTCGGTGGGTGTTGACGGTTTCAATGGGTATGTCCATCTCTTTGAACAGTCTCCTGGACGCGCAGGATATTTGGTCGAGGAACATCTCCTGAGATTCTGACGGCTTCTCGTCGGCGTTTATCGCGAGGTTGTTTATCGTCTGCTGGTCTTCTGTTGTCGTTTTACCGGACTGCGCCAACAGATAGTCCCACTCCTCGCTGAAAATAAAATATGCATAATGTTATTTCTTCATCGACATATATTAAAAGCACTAGCTTTTGTCCACCAGGCATTAAAAAAAACATGATGAATAGCAGTACTAGCTAGCTGGTAAGGTTTATTTGATATTTGAGAAGACTTACGCTGAAACATGTGGGTTGTCCCTGATCCTGGTGTGCGGGGGCACGTTGGGTGTGCGCGCGGGAGCCACGATCCTTACCACTTCCACTGAAGACTGCAGCTTCAGGTAGCCCAGGTACAGGCCGCGGGGCAGCTGCACACGAGACACCTGGAAACGAAAGTATATTGGCATTCGATTTCCGAGATAGAAGCATAAACTTTAGCTTGGATTGTTAAGTAACTTAGCGAACCTTGAAGCTTTGGGGGAATTCAGCCAAAAGAAACCCAATGTAGCATTTCTTGGCAAATAGACTAGTCGCGGTATGGAACAGACTCGAAGATGTAGTAATGGCTCAATCAATAAACTCTTATATTATAAAAACAGACTAGATAAACCAATCGACACACGCATCAGCTCGGTTACTGCAGGTATGTGAACAAATAAAAAAAATGACTAATTTTTACTAAAAAAATTAGCTGATATCGTGAAGATGGATCTGCGTTATTGCTACAAAAGTATATTAGATGAATGAGGGTGCCAAATTTGTGAAGGGCAGGTGTAAGTACCTGGTGGTAGGCGATCTGGTCGTGCACGGAGGCCATGAGGAGGTCGGCCATGGTGTTGTCCTCGCTGAGGACGCGGCGGCGCAGCTTGGCGAGCGGGGCCCAGCGCGAGTTGAGCGCGGACACCTTGCTGGAGCGCGCCGCGCACACGCACGACACCACCACCGTGCCGTGCGCGTCGCGCAGCGGCTTGTGGTACACCTGACCTGATCATATACACATTTATATTTTATAAAATACCGAACAGCAAACGTCCTTTTAAATTCGCCAAAATGGCGAAACCTTTGCAGATCCTCTATTGATATATTCCCAAATCGGTTATAATGATATTCAAGGGAAAATAGTCGTAGTAACTGACAGATTTTATTTTTATTAATTTCTCAATAAAAACTATTCATCATGTGGATTGTCCTTCTAACTCGTTTATTACCTGAGGCCATGTTACCTTTGTGATTGTTATCTATTAGGTAATTATAGACGTGTGCAAATCACCTTTGAACCGGTTCAAAACTTTAGCTCGCATAAACTAAAGTCGTTAAGCTGCGGTTCAACAACATAATTGGCAACTCACGGATCATCGCAATAATAGTATTGCGAGTCATCTAGCTCGCTACTCCTCGACTTACCTAGTTATAGAACTAGGTAAGTCGAGGAGTAGCGAGCTAGATGACTCGCAATTCGCGGATTAAAACACAAATCATAACTCTAAGCAGTTACAAATTGAACTTATTTGCTAAACACATGTAAATATTGATCTGCAGGTCATCAATAAGTGAGACATGAGCTGACAGTTACCTAGGTCCTGTATGCCGAGCGCGGACTGCATCTGCGCGGCGGCGGTGAGCAGCTTGAGGCGGAAGTGCACGGAGGAGGAGGTGTGCTTCTCCATGTCCGCCCGCAGAGACTTCACCTCGTCCCATGAACATGACACCTGCCAACATCAAACACTATGTTCAATAACGTATAGATAGAGTCAAAGACACCTCTACTAAATAGATAGGCTATAAGCTGTATTATTTTGTGCCTAATTGATTTTCTCCATTTTGGCGCTGTCGGTTGCGATCGGGAGTGGTGGTGAGAACTGGAACTAACAATAGATGTAAGGAACATAAACCGGCGCTTTTAACTCGGAATCAGATAAAACTTATCCAAGCACTGACCTATCCATCTATCAGTTGTAAAATAGGATATGCGTAATATGGGTGTAAATTTATGAAAAAAAAACGTAAAAAAAAAACTAATTTTAACTTTAACCTTTAAAATTACATGTTGTATCAAGAGATAAGATTTTCCTTTGAAGTAATTACGATAAATTAATTATGATGCACGCTGATACAAGTTAATTGGACGGTAAAATTACCTTGTTATTGTACTACTAGCTGTAGCTTGCGACTTCGTCCGCACGGATTTAAAAAAACTTAACAAGTAGTATATATGTTTTTCCAGGCTATGTTTTACATATGTGCCAAATTTCATCAAAATTCGTTGAGGCATTGTAAAGATACCTTCTAACATCCATCCATCCATCAATCTAAACGTTCGCATTTATAATATTAGTAAGAAGTAAGATTTAGTACCAGAATATGTTTAATATCTATCTAACTTGCTATCAAAGACTACATTCTTTTGCATCTCCATATTTCCAGTACCTTCATAAGCCAATGGAAGTCAGTGTAGATGCAGGCAGGGTACGTCTCATCCACTTCTATGACAGGCAGGAACTCCTCGCTCGTCACCAGCACCTTGTCCTCGTGGTACACTATACACGACAAGTATACTCCTCTGCAACGAGAACACAGATTTAGTAAAAACCAAACAGTTGGTATGCTACAGCAAAAGGAGAAACAATTAAATTATAATTTTTTTGAATTGGTATTCTTGTTATATTCGTAATTTTAAATATAACATAAATTCCGTTTCGTGTTGTACAGTCAGCTGCAATATGTATATATTTACTTAGCTTGAGAAAATTATATAAGTACGTACGTAAGTTCTTATACTTCCAACGATGATGAAAGACGCACTTATGTATTTTTTGAAACCAAAGATGTATAAATGGTAACATATTCATGTAGCTGACTGTACAAATTACTCAATTACACTGTAAAAATCCACTGTCATATGCTATTAAAACATAAAATTGTGTAGAAAATGAGTTGATGTTTGATGGTCTCACCTTCTTAGATTCTTCTGGAACTTGCTGGCAGCAGTGAAGAGCTGTCGTATGGTGGCAGTCTTCTTGCGCGGCAGTCGCGGCGGTGCGGGGCGCTGGCGTGCGCCGGCCGCCGCGCTGGCGAGTGCCTCCAGCGCCTCCGCCGCGCCCCCGCTAGC